TCCCGCCTCCCAGGCTTGCGGCGCTAATTAGCTGTTTGGCGCCTGGGAGGGAGAGAAGCAAAGTGGGGCGGCGTGCTCAGGGGAGGAGGCGGAGCAAAGGTGAGCTGGGGCAGGGAGTTCCCCTGCGTGCCGCCCCCCGCCCCCTCTTACTTGCTGCAGGCAACCCTCCCCACACACCCCTGCCCCAGCTCCCTCCGCCTAAATGCCGATGACGACCGGGGCGGACGAAGATCCCATCGCCACCGAAGGACCCAAAATGCCGCCCCCCAAATGCTAGAGCCCTAAGCTACCGCCTAGGTCGCCTAATGGGTTGCACCGGCCCTGCATGGTGGGCTATTTCCCTATTCGGATTGTTATACTATTAGTGGTTGAAATAATCAACCCCACTGAATAAATAACATTACAAACTGGCATTGACGTCAAAACAGAACTGCATGATATGACATACCAGTGTGCTCTGTTAACCAGTTCCTAGTGTTCTCATCGTGTGAGAAGAGAAAAGGGGAAGTGACCTTTGCCAACTTCAAAAATTTATAATCGTTTGCGCAAGGTGATCTCAATGTTCCTCGGTTCATTCAAGAGCCAGACAAAATAATCAGTCTGCCATTGTTACGTTTTTGTTGCAGAACGGTAGTAATGCCAATTGCCAATGAATTTGCCCCAGATGTTGTGCTGGTGTCATCTGGTTTTGATGCAGTGGAAGGCCATCCTACGCCTCTTGGAGGATATAATCTATCAGCAAAATGTAAGTTGCAGCTTTACAACAGGGCAGATCCTAAATTGGTGTAAACTGTCATTGCCCCATTAACTTCAGTGGAGCTGTGACAGTTTACACCAGGGTTCTGTCTCTTCGTCTTTAAATGTAAACATTTTCAGAAATCTGTTTGTACCTTTTTTATTTCATTGTGTAATATTTATTTCAGGCCACCTAAAAAAATAACATGAAAAATTCTTCTTCTGTTGGTCTATTGGTGCATCTTATTCTTATAAAACACGATTCATACTGGATTCTAAATAAAATATAGAAAAAGATACTTGCCAAATAACAATAAGTGTGGCGTTTCGCTCATGCAGAAATAAAGAAAAACAAAATGTCAGAAGTAAGCAGTGTGTGTTTAGCTGTCCATTCTTTCCTCCCAGACTCATTGTAAACAATTCAGGTTGATGATTTTACTCTCTGTCTTGTCAAAAGGTTATATAATTCAGTTCTCATTCTTTTTCCTTTGGATCCACAACGTGCACTGCACAAACGCAGAGCCAGATGCTTTCCCCTGTTAGGCTGGTGTAAATCTGGACTCTTTCCATGTAATTCAGCAGAAAACAGGATTGGACCCACAGAGTCTAAAAATCAGAAGGAATTTTTAGGGTTTTGTTGTCTGTCGATTAGAAAGGTGATTATCTAAGATACATCCTTAAAAGTCCTTTTAAAAGTTTTTAAAAGGAAGTAGAACTCATGACTTTAATAAAAAGATTTAAGTGAAATAGGAGAGCTGTAAGAGACAAGTTATTTAAAGGTATCCACAAACACTTCGTAAATGGTGATATCTTGTTTGCCTTTTTGTTGAATTTCTCTAATTGTATATTGCTCTCGTAATATGTAAAATTGAGCTAAGGGGGATTATTATATAGTTGGTTCAGTCAGTGGGTTTTGTCCCAAAGCTATTAATTAATACATTACAATACAAATACAATATTGTTCCTGCAAAGGTGCTTGTGAGCCTTAGTAAAATAGAAAATAGAGAAGTCTGAAGGAGGAGGTAATGCATTGGGTTTTTTCAGATTCTGAATCTGTCATTTAATCCTTGTGGGTTTTTTTTTTAAAGTAGAATTAAATATACTGTGTGTCAAATGATCAAAGCCCAGGTGTCCCAGAGATTTTTATAGCATGTTGTATATGTGAAGAAGCTGATATTGAGCATTAGATGTCAGATACCTGTGGAACATTATAATCCATTTTTTTTTCACAAATAGAAGCACAAGCCACAGGTGATTGTTTTTTTTTCCCCTCTGTCTCCTGGACTGCATTGATTCTGGAGAGCATATCGTATATAATATAACATAAAGATCAGATAAGGTATAAGTGACCTCCTCCTAATCTCCTTCCTTCCCTCCCAAAGAGATTATTTGCTACTATAATAATTCAAAGCATTAAAACACAGTGGGGCAAATTCTGACCTCAGTTACACAGGTGTAAATCTGAAGTAACTCCAGTGATGTTTATGGAGGTACTCCAGATTTGCACCCGTGTGAGATCAGAATCTGTCCCATAATGCATACATGTAATCGGATCCAAAGGGGAGCCATAGCTGAAATTCTGAAACGAATGTATTAAAATAAAACCTGGCTTATATTATGTGTTTAGTCCTCCCAGATCCCTTGTGGGTTTTTTAATATGATGTAATTCCTTTTATAATTCTTTGATCCTTTGCCAGGAGTCTGATTCCACTGTCAACCTTTGCCCTTTTGTTGCATTTCCTGTTTCCCTGTTACAGGCTTTGGGTACCTGACGAAGCAGCTGATGGGATTGGCCGGAGGTCGAATTGTTCTGGCCCTCGAAGGAGGTCATGACCTGACAGCCATTTGTGATGCGTCTGAGGCATGTGTTTCTGCTTTGCTGGGAAACGAGGTATAAAGAAAACTAAAGGCACTGTGAATGGCTGTATGTTGACAAATTTAAGATGCTACAAGTTCAACAACTGTATTGCAAAGCTAAAAATTATCAAAGTGCATTTTGCCAGCATTGATTAGTAGGTTCCTAAACTTCTGAAACTTTGATTGATCTTTGTTTTTAGTCCTTCCTTTAAAGGAACAGTATCAGCGTAGAGAACAGATACGTTTTTTAAAAAGCATACCTTGCCACTCTTATCAACAAATTAAACAATAAGAATTAAGTGAATTTTAAAAGCAAAACTTGTTTTTGCCACTTGTTTGTATTTTGCCTTTTCCTCATCCTGGACAAGGACAACAAATTAGTCATCCAAATAAATGTGTCTATGGCCATCCTCCGACTCTTTTTCTCCTCATTGTTGTCCTTACCCAGTGTAGTCAGTATCGTGTTCTTTGTGCTGTTTGTTTCAATATTTCATTCAGTTTTATTTTTTGCTGCCCCCAGTTTTTCAGTGTGCTGCAGATTTCTGTATTGAAAGTGCCTAGCAGTATTGTGGAAGTTGTCAGTGGAAGGCTGGAGGGTTTGATAGCTGGACTGGGGACTATTTAAGCTGTCGGGCCCCATGGAAGTGTGAAAAGCAGGTCTAGTTCTTGACATCCAGGAAACAGTTGAACCTTTTGGTATGGGGAAGCCACTTTCCTTTCTGTTTTGGTTAGAGGTGGTAAGTGTATGGAAGGACGGAATTGAATTCTTCATTCCCCACCCCAGCAACTTTTGATGGCAACCTTATTGCTCCCTGCCACTGCATCCAGCAATAAGAAATAAGTACATTATAGTTGGATGTTTCTACCAAAATTATCAGCAATGAACTAGTTAACATTAGAATTGTCATTAAGCTTCATAGTCAACACCTGATAAAGCTTAGATTCAAACACACAATTATGCAGCAAATCTAAACATTAACTAATTGTGCAGCCATATAATCCCATACTGCACCGGTAAGTGATCTACTCTGTTACCTGCCAGGTTTGTACCTGTGGCATATACTAAAGCTGTCCAAGGTTTTAGTTGGAATAAGTTATAGGCTTTATGAACAATTTGATGTCACCCAACTTTTCTGGTGTATTCATCCCCTTTTGAACGCCCACATGCCTCATGGTATACTAAATACCTTTCCAATGCGTGACCAGACTCCAAATGGCACAGTGGTAGCCGACATTCATGGATGGGACTACACCACTTTTCCATTTAGGAAAATTGGGCTTAGTGCTGCGAAGCACAAGTCAGGTCAGACTGGAGCCCTAGGAAGTATCCACTGTTAGCTCAGAAGATGTCATTGTAGCAAAAGCTCTCAAGAGCCTTTCAGAAAATCAGTGTTGAAGATGAGTGAAGAAAAGCAATATCACTTCTATTCATTGCCTGGATCATACGCAGCTGAGACTTGCAGCAGCATGTGAAAGTGATTAGATATATTTTCAAACTGGAGCTATGCTATTAAAGTGGGATATCATCACAGATTGAATCAGTGTGCTGTGTGAATTATTTTGGGCTGTCTTTTCGATTAAAGGATCACCATGCATACTTTGCAGTGTATTTAAATACAAAGGTTTATTTGTCATTCTGCATGGGATATGCATGGATAACTCCAATGCAGGGCTTGGTAGATCTACGTGGCAGATCTACTCACCCATGCTCAATACAACTGCAAACTGATGACATGAAGGCCCCTCGTTCAGTGAGTCCTGAGACATCCAGACCAATATGTCATGAATTCAAGAAAATCTTGAAAGGCCCGGACATCCCTTAGAGGAGAGAAGGAAGCAATCAAGACAGCCTCATGTGGGATAAATCTGAAGGCCACTTCCTCGCCTTCCCCAGAGAGCAAGTCTGACTGCCCATCAGGTGAAGGAGGATGAGGAGCCTTCGCCTTCCTTGGAGGAAGAGAGTTTGTTCTCTTGTCACCCCTCCTTGCTGAAGAGTCTACAGAGGCAACAGGTGGAGGACTGTAGGGCCAAAAGCCTCCAGGTGCAGAGCCATATGGAGGAAAACCTGAGTAATCTTTCAGTTCTGGAGTTGTCTAAGTTGAGAATCATGACTGCAAAGCTGACATTGAACCATTAACAAGTCATAAACCTCTTTGATGTGGAGCTGCAATATAATGACAAGGAACCTGCTTTTCACTGCTCCAAGAAGTCCACAGTACTGGGTTTGATTCTGCGTAGAAGCGTGAGTGACCTATATCTGATAAATGACGGCTCCAGCCAGCTCCATAACTGTGGATTCCAAAACACTAAGGACATTTCTGCAAGGAGAAAGAGATTCTGGAGAAGATCTCTCTAATAAATCCAGCAGACCCTGGTGAGAATAGTCAGGACATCATAATGCCTATTCTGAATTCTCTGACTTGCCCTCTACCAGAGCCTTCAAAGGCTGTTGATTCCTTGAGCTTTGGCTTGGCAGATTTGTCACATGCCCCAATGGGGATGATTGAGCCAGCCAGTCTCTACCCAAGCAGCTCTATCCTTCTTTTGGCCCCTAGTAACTTGGGAACCAGCTACACTGGCATCCCACCCGATTCAGTGGTATGATGCTTGTCAGAGCCCCTCATTCTCTTGTACTACAGATTCTCAGACCCCTCAACATCAGAGGCGAATCCCTTGGCTTCATCCAAACCTTGGATCAAAACTGCTCTTCTGCAGCCTCCCACCTTTGCAGAACACACAGTTTAAAGCTCTGAACAAGCATTATTCCCCAGTGATAAACTTCGTTGGAATCATCTTTCATAACACACATCTTTTTGAGTTTAAGTGCTCCAAAGATTTTATTTACCTATATTATGTCTTGCCAATAATCACTTTGCTAAGTTGAAATGTTTCATATACACCTCTACCTCGATATAACACTGTCCTCGGGAGCCAAAAAATCTTACCATGTTATAGGTGAAACCGTGTTATATCGAACTTGCTTTGATCCATGGAGTGTGCAGCCCTCCCCCTCCCCCGAGCACTGCTTTACTGCGTTATATCCAAATTCATGTTATATCGGGTGGCGTTATATCGAGGTAGCGGTGTATTTAGACAATTTAAAGAAGAATGTTTGATTTGTTGGTTTTTTTGGTGTGTTTTTTGTTTTGTTTTGTTTTTTTTATAATTACATCAGAATATCAGTAAAGAACTTAAAAGCTTTTAAGGATGGACCTGTTCTTGGTTTTGATAAGCTGGTTATCAGACTGTGCAGATACCAAGACAATGTTCTTTTACTTACACACATCAAAAAGCAGGAAGCACTGGTTTTATCAAGGTCTTTTATAAACTCTTTTTAATGCAAGGAAGTTGGAGTGAGCCACCGTTGCTGTATCCTGCGGGCCCTTTGATGAAGTTTGATATACAGCGTGTTAGACAATTTTGCATGCACGCACATGGACAGCCAGCTGTGGATAGCAACAGGCTGCAGGGGAAATTTGCTAACTTAAGATATGACTAAAGTATATAGCGAAACAGAAGGAAATGAGGGGGGAAATGCAGGCCTCACAAGCTGAAATTAAATTCATCAGCTGAAATTAAAATTTTAATTTTAAGAAAATGTCTGTGTGTGGTTGCAAAGCCTAGAGCCAAGGATAATTCCCAAGTGTCAGGGAAATTAAAATATAGCTGTAATTGCAAGCTTTATGCACCTCAGAATATTTTAATGTAAAATGATTTAGCAGCATCAGAAGTTTTTAAATATTTTTTTAGTTACCATTTTTTTATTTGTTCAAAGCCACTACAAATAATTTGACTTTTGTTGGAAAAAATAAAGGTTGTGGAGGGCAGGATCCACTGAGGACTTTTTCAATTTATGTAACTTATGGCCAACAAGCTGCAACTTTTATTAAATAGAATAATGGGATGACGCCTAAAGGCAACATTTGCTAACAGTTCTGAAAAGCAGGGGAGGCAACAGCAGCACAGAACAGACATCTGGCCTCCCTCTACCTTCAGTATTCAGGTACCAAACATGCTAACTATCAAAGCTCTACCAGGCCACCTTTATTTCAAAGCCCATGTCTACCTGTGTTTTTACATGATTTAGATACTAGGCAAGTTACTGCATCTGGAAAACATCAAATGTTGTAATGAAATCTGAGAGTTTGCTGAAGTACCAGCCTTTCCCAACCACGCCAAGGAAACCAAACCACCATTATCCCCGCTGAATATAACTTCCACCTGGGAAGCAACCTTTGATGCACTGGACTCTAGTGTAGCTTGTATATGCCACCTGCAAATCACCCAGCCAATTTTCAGTACACTACCTATTTCAGCGTTACAGGTCACATCTGAGGCTGGATTGTCGTAAGTAATGCATTCATGCCTCAGCATCTTTCCATAAAAGAAAGCACAAAAACACTCCATTCCCAGTTGATGTCTTTCCTGGCATGGTCTACCAATCCATTGGCACATCTTCAGGAGAAACTCAAGGCTGTGTTTCAGTACAGTCCAATATCACTTAACCCAAATGAGTAATTTGAGGTTTACCCACAATCAAATGGGGTGGGATGGGGTCATTAGCCAGAGCTTGCACATGATGGTAATCTGACGATTCCATTGCATGCACCGCCAGATGCTCCGCTTTGGATTCTGTCCAAAAGGGAAGCCAAGCTGTGATTGCCGGTGCTGAATAGCTGCTTGTACCCGGTGAATGATGCTGTTGCTTAAAATCCAAACTGTATCTGAAGACCACTGAAACAGTCTTTCCAAGGTTAGGAGAAAATGCAAGCACAGGGTCCCAGCCAGAATGCAGAATCATAGTGCCAGGACAGATCATTATGAAGGGTTGATTGACCCATCTGGAGGAGGGGACGCTGTGTCCTGTCAGATGTAATCTTGAACCTAGCGGAACACTTCCCATCCAGTTCCTGAACATCTTGATTAGGGAGCCTGGCCCCAGCAATATGGGCAGCAATACCTATCAGGAATGAAAGAGACCTCAGTGCTTCGTGGTCTGAGTTCACCAAGGCCAGTTGTACCCTAAGAGTAGCA